CATAAGCTTTCGTGGGTAAGAACCTCACTTCTTGCATCTGAAGAAGTGAGGTTCTTACCTACGAAAGCTTATGCTCCCAATACTTCTGTTAGTCTTAAAGGTACCACAGGACTCTCTGTTGCTGGATCTTAGGTATGAGATAGGTGCCGAGCTGCTGGTCAGGACTGAGGCAACCATGCTCATGCTCAGCTGCTGGAATTTAGGCACCTTGGGGACTTTAACAGTGGAAAATGTAACACTTAGGGACCTTAGGCACTTCCAGGATTAGGTTAGTTGAATGCCAGTAGTGCCTAAATGTTGTATTTAAGTCCTAAAGTGGCAGTTAGGTACCTAAGTCCCTTTGTGAATCTAGCCCCAGGCCAGTGAGAGCTTACTTTCCACAGGAGCAATTCCAAACAAGAGTAGTTCTCATCAACCATTTTCAAGCTTATCTAAAAACATCAGTGAGAACATGTCTCAGACTTCTAGGTCACATGGCCTCCTGCACTTTTCATCCAGCATGCCAGATTTCATCTTCAGTGCATGTAAAGATGGTTGAAATCAGTGTTACTACCCATTAGACACTGAAAGGACATGATGGTCACAGTCCTTCACAAAGTCCTCTCCTCATTGAACTGGGACATTACAAACATTGAATCTATCCCCCCTTGTAAGTATTCTCACACTTCTTATCAAACTGTCTGTACTGGGCTATCTTGATGATCACTTCAAAAGTTTTTTTTCTCTTAATTAATTGGCCTCTCAGAGTTGGTAAGACAACTCCCACCTGTTTATGCTCTCTGTATGTGTGTATATATATCTCCTCAATATATGTTCCATTCTATATGCATCCGAAGAAGTGGGCTGTAGTCCACGAAAGCTTATGCTCTAATAAATTTGTTAGTCTCTAAGGTGCCACAAGTACTCCTGTTCTTCTGTCTACTGACAGTGGCCAATGCCAAGTGCCCCAGAGGGGATGAACAGAACAGGGAATCACCGAGTGATCCATCCCCTGTCACCCATTCCCAGCTCCTGGCACACACAGGCCTGGCTAATAGCCGTTGATGGACCTAGCCTCCATGAACTTCTCTAGTTCTTTTTTGAACCCTGATCTAGTCTTGGCCTTCACAACATTCCTCCACCACATGTGGCAGCTGGGAGCTCTGGTGTCCACCCATGGCGACTGGGAGCTACGCGGTCCATCTGCAATGGCATGAGGCTGTGGCTTCTCCCGCCCTCGCATCCCAGCACTGCCAGGAGCCCCGATCCCTCTGCCCCCCCATTGCCCTCTGGGCTTCTCCCCGCCAGCCCCCGACCCTGGGGCTCAGCCACAGCCCCCCCCCCCGTTGCCACGGGCCCAGCTGAGTCCTGCGCGGGGTGGGGGGAGAGGGGAAGAGTCGCACCGCAGGGGCTCGTGGGAGATGTGGTGTGCCCCGGCGTACATTTCCCATCAGCCACCGCGGGGCCAGCAGCTCCAGGGGAGCAGCCAGGGGGCGGGGCCCAGCGTGTTCTGTGCGGGTGGGGCGGGGCTTTCGGCCGGACAGCTCTGTGCACCGAGCGGGGCTGGAAACAGAAGTGGTTGGAAGAGGACGTGACGCCAAACCCCGATGCACCCGCGGCCCCCAGCCCGCCGCCATCTTCCCCAACTGTCCCCCCCAGGGGGCCCCTCAGCCCACCCCCACCTATCCATGGGGCCTCTCAGTTCCCCTCCAAAACCCCCAGCCCAACCTGCCCCCTACTCCTCCCCCCTTCCGTACCCTTCCCCCCACAGTACCCTCCCTCCACCCGTGGGGCCCCTCAGCCCCCCTCCCGCCCTAACATCCCCCCCCAGCCCGCCACAACCGCCCCGACCCATCCCTGGGGCCCCTCAGCCCCCCTCCCGCCCTAACATCCCCCCATGCTGATTTTTTTTGTTTTTCCCCCTCTGCTGGGTTTAGTACCAAGGAAAAAGAAGTCGAGCGTCAGAGTCTACTGCCCTCGTGCGATGGGAGGTGAGTGAGAGCAGCGAGCCTGTGAGCACTGTTCATGCCAGGCAAGAGCCGTCCATCTGTGAGCCGAGCAGACGCCACTGTCCGTGAGATAAGTGTCTGGTTTGGTGAGGTCAGGTAGAGACAGCCCATCAGCTGGGGCTGGGCTTGTATGAAAAGGTTCTTGACTAGCTGTAGTTACTAGAGAGACAAGGTCCCCATTTTCAGGGGCTACTCAGTTCTCTGGCCAGGATCGGTGTGTCCTCCGCAGGAGAAGGTTGGATCCAGGGGGATGACTCCAGGTGGCGAGTCTCTGTTCATAGAGTGGGGCTGATGTAGATGGGATGGGAGAGGGAGGCAGGATGAGGGCAAGATTTCACACACCGATAGAGCTGTGTGTAGTGATGGCTCATGCTTGGCTTTTGCAGCTGCGCTTGCAGAGGAATTGTCCAGGAGCCCCAGCCGGAGGAGAAACTGGCAGATGTGGACATGAGCAGACTGGACATCCTTGTCAGCAGACATGAACAGTCCTCCGCTTTCTGCCTTCCACATAACTGGCTGTGAGTAAGCGGTCAGTGCTTTGAATTGCTCATCTGTGCTCACTGTAGTATTCTTCACAGGCCGTGTGCCTCCTCGTTGGGCACGGGTCTCTGTGGGATTGAGGCGGGGGAGGGTCCAGAGTGTACTGTGCAGAGTGACTCTGTCGGGTGCCGTTGCATGGTAATGCCTTTGTAATGCTAAAGGTGTAACGGGAAGAGGGTGGAGGGTGGAAATGCTCAGTCCTCAAGTCTCTTCCTTCTCCATCACTGGGTGAGTTTCCCTGGTCATGCCACTCTAGGCATCCCCTCATTCAGCAGAGGACATGAGCAGGGGTCTGAGAGTAGCCCTCAGCCTGTCTCCCCACTCACCTGGTTGCACCACCCAGGGCATGTGGAGGGTCCAGGGCTCTGCACAGCACTCCGGACTGACCTGCTCCAGCCCGGGCTCCTGGGTCCTAACCCTCGCAGTCGCTGCTCCCCGAGGGCTCTGCTGGCCCTGGAGCTGGAGCCCCACACGGGCGGGTCTTAAGGTCTGTGAGCGGTCGAAGGGCGGCCGGGAACTGAGGAGCAGCCAGAGTCCAGGGACCTCAACCAGCACAAAGATCAGAGGGGGAAGCGTTGTGGCTACCTGCATCATTGCGCCACCTAGAGCAGCAGTCGCCCCACCCTGCCTGGCTCTGGCTTCTGGCCTCTGGGCCGGTGAAGGTTGGGAGCCTCTGAGGGGAGGAGGCGAAACTTGCAGTTCAGTGAGGAAGAGCCACAGTGAGGGCAAGGCCTCATTGTGTGTGTGTGGGGTGGGGGGGGGGTGGCGAGCGTGGTGCTGCCCACAGGCTGTCACTGCTCCTCCAGGGCAGATGCACTTTGCGCATTACCCAGACTGGCCACCGGGTGTCACTGCTGCTCCAGGAGGAACACAGTCTGTAGGTTACCCTGCCTGCCCGCCGGATGGCGTTGTTCCTCCCTGAAATGGTTTGTGCATTACCTGGATTAGCCACCCGGTGTCACTGTTGCTTCATTTGGGAAATGCTCTGTGCATTTACACGGAGTGGCCACCGGGCGTCACTGCTACTCCATGGGGGGAAGAGCTCTGTGCATTACCCCGATTGGCCACTCGGCGTCACTGTTTCTCCATAAAGGAAACGCTTTGAGCATTCTCCCCACTGGCCACCTGGTATCACATTTACTCCAGGAAAAAATGCCCCGTGTATTCCCCGTTTGGCTGCCCAGTGTCACTGTTGCTCCATTAGGGAAATATTCTGTGTAATTACACTGAGTGGCCACCTAGTCTCTCTGTTGCTCCCTAAGGTAAATGCTTTGTGCATTCCCCTGATTAGTGCTCCACGAGAGCAATGGTCACTCAGTCTCTGTTCATCCGGTGGGGCTGAGGTGGATGGGATGGGAGAGGGAGGCAGGATGAGGGCAAGATTTCACACACCAATAGAGCTGTGTGTAGTGATGGCTCATGCTTGGCTGTTGCAGCTGCGCTGGCAGAGGAATTGGCCAGGAGCCCCAGCCGGAGGAGAAACTGGCAGAGGTGGACCTGAGCAGCTTAACTGAGCGTGCGTAATCAGTCAGTGCTCGGAATTGCTCATCTGTAGTCGCTGTAGTTTTCGTCACAGGCCGTGTGCTTCCTCGTTGGGTACGGGGCTTTGTGGGATTAAGGCTGGGGAAGGGATCGCAGTCACAGTTGCCAACTTTCACAGGGTAAATCATCTCCCCGACTTTCACAATAAGCCAAAAACCAAGCTAATCCCATTTCAAAACAAGGCCAAAACAAGTTAAAGAACCCCAACACTGTATGTGACTAGATCCCCTCAGCGTGGAGTCTGCGACTGTGGGGGGCCTGCTGTGCACCCCTGACTCTCTTCCCCTCTTTGCCCCGGCTTGCCCCGTGCCTTTGCTTCCCCCCCCAGCCCCGGCTTGCCCCGTGCCTTTGCTTCCCCCCCCAGCCCCGGCTTGCCCCGTGCCTTTGCTTCCCCCCCCCAGCCCCGGCTTGCCCCG